AGTTTTCGGCCTGTTGGGTTGACAGGTACTGGGGAGGAAACAGGAGCTCACCCTGTTTAACGCGAAGGCTGGACTCAAACCGCTGAAGCGTCAGCCATTTCTGGCCGGCACCTTTCAGCGTCATTAAGCCGCTGTGCCACCACGTCCCCCATCTACAACATTAGTAGCTCTCATGTACAAGGCTAGCTCCTTAATTGCTGTGCCTTGGAGGAATGGCTGTGAAGGCTGATCTTTAAAAACTCTTATGGGAATAATAAAGAAGGTGGCCAAAATACTTTCATGCTGAATGCAGCAGCATTATTGGAATGCTGAAATGCTGAATGCAGCAGCATTATTGGAATAAGATTTTGTCTAAAGTAAGAAGAATCCATTTCTGAAATGGGCAACTAGGAAGCCAAACTATTGTTTGTAAACTGATAGCCAGCTGATTATATCTTAACAAGCTACTTTGGGATTTAATTATTTTTCTTCTGTCTAGCCAATAATCTTTATTGATGGGATTAAGTTCAGTTTGCAGATAGACTTGATTGGATTGGAGCATTCTAGCATGCAGGAAGAGGAGGGGCTGCCAGTTACCACCATATTTGATCTTATGGGAGAAAAGTGACTCTCCTCCAACTCCTCATATTTGCAGTATGATTTCTTTTCTCCCCTTGGTTAGTGGTCTCCTTCATATTATGGTTTTAGTGTTGTCCATTGTCCCAAGCAAGATCTTCTTAAGATTATCCACTTTCTGTTCTATAATTAAAAGTCTTTCAAAGATGGCTGTTATGGTATGAGCTGTAAGCAAACACTGCCTAAATTTAGGGTTCTGATCTAATGCCACACATCATTTATTGTGCCATGGGTTCTCAGGTTGATTTCTCCAGCATTGACACTGTCAGTGCCTTCCTCAGAAAGTGCATAAATATTAATAAAGGAAACCCACTCCTGGGTTTTATTTTAGATCTGCTGGTTACATTGGTGGAAGGGGGGAGAAATACAATTTCTTTCCTGGCAGCCATGAGCTTGTCAATTTTCAACTGTGGCAAACTTTCCAATTGCCTGCTCAGAAGTAGAGTGATGCTGTTCTTCTTGTGGCCATCAGTGCCCTCATCTCAGAAGTAAACATTTATGACTCAAAAAGAAAAAAAAATCTGTTCTCAGATTTGATGACAAATAAAACCTTCAATTAAAACTTCAGTTAAATAAAGGAGTGGGCTCACTGTAATATTAGGTTTTCAGCAAGTTATGCATTTCAGTGCTGACTTGCTCTCCTCCAAGGGTCACTTTCCAACCTGCAAATGACTCTTGTGTATCTTTAATTAAAGATTGTGTGAAGTCACATTTCTTGTAATAGGAGGATTGAGTTGGGCTAATGGAGCATATTCTGCTGCAGCTTTCTGCTGATTTGGCTGTAGCTAAACTTATAAGGAAGGGACCAAGAGTTTATACTGTCATGATATGAAGTGGAAAGGAAAGACTTATGCTGTAATATACTATTCCAAATTAGGTCCCAGTGCCCAGTCTGGAGTAAAGTATACAACTGTGTCTGCAGAGAGGGTTGAACTCTGCAAGCTGGTGGGTACAATATTGCAATCCAGGCTCCATTCCTTTTGTCTATGCATCATTATCATAAAAATTCAAAAGGGTTGAAGCTTGGATCACAACGCCATGCTCGCTATCTTGCAGATGTTGATGCCATCCAGGTGTTGCTGAAAGTGTATGTACACAATATTCCTTTCTTTGCTGTTGGGTCAGTTGGTTGTCTGTGCTGCTGTTTCCCTTCATGATATGAAGTGGAATGTCCTAAGACACTAATTTTAGGGTTGTGTGGTGCATCCGATTCAAAGGCAAAAGGGCCCTTCAGCAGTATCCTTTGTAGCTCCTGAAACAAGTGCAGGATTTTGCAGTTGCCCTCTATGGCCACAGTACAATTCTGAGAAAAGTTATGTTTAATTTAAGAAATTGCAGATAGGATTTGCTGAGCTCCCATGCATGTTCTGAAGCTCCTTGCCTTCCAGTCCAAAGTGCTACTAATGTCCCCAGAGTAATCTTCAAACTGCTTCAGCAGTGAACATTCATGCAGATCTACTGAAGCACTGCCCTCCTTATGTTGCCTGATTCTTGTGAATACCACAAGCTGTACTTTTCTAAATTTTATCCCTGTGGTTTCACAACTACTGCTACCATTTCAAAGTTTCTCTGAGTGGCAGAAATTCTGCAAAGAAAAAAAAAGTAGGAAAAAAAGCTATTTCCTTTTTCTGAAAGGAAAAGATGGCTAGGAACTACAGAATTCATTGCCTTTGCCCCAAATTATCTCTAAAGACAGCTGTGATGAAGGCCCAGCCAAATCAGTGGTATTCAGTGATGACTAACTCAAGTTAGAGCAGGACCCTTTCCTGCAAATGTTTTCCTCAGTGCTAGAACATGATTATCTGAAGAATGCTTGCTGTGATTAGCATAGCTCTCAATATGCTCACCTGTACACATCAGTCCTGTTTCTTCATCTATGCATTCTCTGTCATCACACTCACAGTATTTACCATGGATCAATCCATTTCCTTCTAAATTGTCACATTTACATCTGCCACAGTGACAAGTTCCTGTAAACAACAGAAACACAGTACTGTCATCAGGATTACAGTTTATCATTACCCTTCAGTTTATCATTGAAAAGGAAGTGTGATTTCATGGCTTATATTTCTCTTATTTCTTTTAGAATTTTATATAATCTATGTCAATAACAAGGCATAGAAAGTATCCTGCTAGCAGAGATAAAAGGTTGATTTAGTTCACCCTACATTCTGATCCCTCGGTGTGGTGAGCTACTTCCTTGATGTCTATTCCTTGATCATTTTGACTGACATTTTCTTCAACTTGTCCAGTTCTAAAATACTTTGGGGGAGTCTGACAACCAGAGCTGTATACAGAATCCCAAGTCTGTTTATGCCATAGATTTCTTTAAAGGTCTCCTGATAGTGGCATGAGACATTTCTATTTATTTACTTCTCCCTTTATATGGCTGCCCATTCTGGGTGGTAAATTAAAGCAACAATTAAAACAGGAACAAAACTGCAAATCCATCGCACCTAGGGCAGTGCACACAATCATATCAGCACCCACCCACCCCCCACCCATGGGGGCACTTAACTTCCTCGCCTAGTGCCTGGGGGACAAGCCAAGTTTTTAATGCCTACAGAAGACCATGAGAGTCTTTCAGTTCCTTTTTTACTAATATCCATTAAATGTTATATTTTTCACACTAGATACAATCATGAAAAAGAAAGTACACCCTCTTTGAGTTCTATGGTCTTACATATCAGGACATAATAAAAATCATCTGGTCCTTAGCAGTTCTCAAAAGTAG